GGGCAATGGCTGTTATTGTGGATGGGTGGTGGTGCTGTTGGTGACGATGGTAGTGTAAGTGGTGGTTCTTGTGGTGATGGGGGGGCTACTGCAGGGTTTAGGTTGGGTTGTGTTAAGAGTGATTGTGACTGATTATTTATGTGTTGTGATCAATAAATTGTTAATTTTGTATCAACTATTAATATGTGATCTAGAAAAATGTGTGAATGTGATTAAAATTGTAATTGCGATACAGAATTTGGTAATCTGTGATCAATTAATTTTGATAATTTGTGACCGTGGAATAAGTTGTGACCTATAAAATTGTGATTTGTAATCAATAAATAAATTGTGACCTATAATTTTTTTTATTTGTAACCAAAAAATAATTTATAATTAATTAATTTGATAATTTCTGACCAAATTATAAGAATTGTGACTTTAATATATTAATTAATAATTATTATTATTTTTAATTAATTATTTTTTAAATAAAATTTAATAATATCTAATTTTTAAAGTTTTAAACCTTATTTATTAATTCGGAAATGAGTCGTATTTAATCTATTATATATGAAATTTTCCCTTTTAACTTTGAAGGCTCTAACTTATAGTTTGTACATAGCAGTCGACCATTTTGAATATTCGAAACAAGGTTAAAATGATTGAAACAATGAAATAATCTTTTTCAGATATTCAATTTCATTATGATAGTATTATATTTCGAAATATTGTTGGACACTAACACATTCACTAGATTTCACAAGTTCTATCAAACAAGATGAAACAGTATTCCTTTATGTTTCAATAGTATCACATTCGAGAATATCCAGTTACACAATAACAATCCAAACTCCGAAAGAGGTCAACACGACAGTTAATTAGAAACCTAACAAAGGTCCACACTCCACATCTCACCATGATCGAACCAAAGTCATACGGTAAGGACGATGAAGTGGTAAACCACCTCATTTTTCTTCTAAGAGCATCTCTGACCCACTTCATGGATTGAATTTAGGTGGCATTTATATAGAAAGATTTTTAATTTACCTAGTATTAATATCTAATGAACAAACAGTCAATTCAATTTTCATCTCCAATGGATTCTGTCTATAAGCACTGAAAACACACATTAATTAATTGATGAATAAAGTAGGTTGAGATATTAAAAGATCCACTAATTAATTGATGTATCATGTCACCATTATTTATCTTATATTAAACGAGTGGTGTAACACTCTATATATAATTAAAATTTCATACTAATTATATTTAAAAGGAGAGTAAGAGATTCTACATCTAGATGGTTCTTTTAAGTCTACTTTTTTCCTGCCACGTCACTTAGATATGAAGCATGTTTGGCAATATATATATATATTGTGCAGACCTAAATCTTTAAGTCCATCTTATGAATCAGATGAGCTAGAAAGAGAAAATTTGGCCATGTTTTTAACTTTAGACTAGTTTTTTGCCCGTGCAATGCACGGTTGTGTTGTTTTGAAGGTAATGTTAGCTGGTTCAATGTGAAGAATTAATGAGAGAAATGTATATTTTGATTCAATGAAGTTGTTGGATAGATGAATATGTTTTGCTCATAACTTTGTCCCAATAGCCACTCAAGTACTAAAAATTTTTCATTTGAAATATCTGCCATTTAATTTCATAACAAGATCTATCTTATTTCGCTTATCTTTGTGAATCAAAAGAATTTAAAGTTGCAATTAATGCTCATGGTCAGAGTAAAGATAGCTTTAAAGAGGCATGTAATGTACATAGCTTGTTCCATAAATATACGATTCTACAAATATCTCCTAATTTAATACCCACAACTAAAGGTTGAAAGTGACTAACTTGGCTATCCAACAGATCCATGAATAGCCAACGCCTCTAACTAAATATTCCAGGATGAAGTTAGGCATGCCTTTAATAAGCACATAAACTTGATTTGTTATCTAACTTTATGTTTGTTTAAATAGAATTTATTTTTAAGTAAATATATTTAGGTACATTGAATTTAAATTGTTAGTTAATTTTAATTTAACTGCGGATTGTTAATTCTTATTTTGATCAAATTAATATATTACTATAATGTTTGGCAGCGACGGATCCAAAATTAGAAGTCAGCTAGTGAGGCCGTCGACCGTCGACGACCAATAGCAAAGTCAACTACGTCCATTCAACTCTTTATACATAAAGATGGTTATATTTCATTTGACAAAACGATCTGG